CGGTGTTGAGAGACTTGAGGTTCCTTGCTAAAGGTCCAGATGTTGTTGGAATCCAACATAACAAGTACGTTGTTAATGGATTTCAGTTTCACACCAACGAAGTTGAGAAGAAAAGAAAAATGCAGAATAGTGGTGTTACAGTAAATGCAACAACATCCAGTTTTGCAAGTATAAGGGATCAAAATCCAGTTTTGAGTGAACTAGTTTACTTCGGCGTCTTGAAAAATGTTGTTGAATTAATTTACAGAGGTCGTCGGGTGGTGTTATTCGAATGTGATTGGATATCAAATGGTTCGAGAATGAAACAAGATGCTGATGGGTTTACTGTAGTCAATTTTGCAAATGTGAGGCCTCATGTTGAGCCATTTATACTCGCTTCACAAGCATCACAGGTTTTTTATGTGGAAGATCCAACTGATAAGGATTGGCAAGTTGTTATCTCTACCACTGCAAGAGGTGGATATAACATGGACACAACCATGGATGTTGAGACATATTTGCAAAGTGATGTTGGAAATCCTGTTGTTGAGAATGAAAATGAGGAAATTAGTTGGGTTCGTGAGGATGGACTTGGGATTGAAGTTGATTTGTCCCAATATAATCTGATTTAGTATCTTTTATAGTTGCTAAGCTTGTTGGCCCTATTAATTGTTATATGTTTCAATTGCTAAGGCTCTACTACTGGCTGCAATTACTTGTCTACATTTCGTTGGTCTGAAATTACTTGAAGCTTGTGAGTTTTGGTTCGTTTGATTATTGTATACAGCAACTAAATTTGAAGGGACAAATATGGTTTCAAATTTGCGGAATTGCAGATCATGGTGTTTATTCAAGCACTTGCCCGTACACCATACATGGTCTCAATTGAAATGTTCTGTGCAATCTCTAAATGCCTTTGTGTTATGGGAAATTGCTATCCATCAAATTCACTTTAAAGTTTGATTATGATTCGTTAAATGTTTTAACAAAATTGTTATTATTATTTTTGATAATTACAATAATCATTTCTTTGTTTTGTTTTTTAAACTTTTGAGTGTAAGATATAATGCAATTTTTGCAAATCAATTCAGACCAAACATAAAACAACCTATTACTAATTTTAAGAGCCCAATGGGCTAGATAAATACTGGTCATTATTTTTTAAGCAATTCCATTAATTGTAAGCTGTAATATTAATGTAGTGAATCATTGTATTATGGCCAATTTTTGATTTCCAATCACCCCTCTCTAATTTTTGATCAATAGAAATAATTTGAAACTTTAATCGATAAATTTCTTAAATAATTTTTTAATACAATGGAAAAATTATTTTTTTAAAAATAACAATTCAAAAAGTGAAATTCTCTAAATTTCCGGTCGAACTGATGTTTGATTGAATTTAATCGGTTTAGTCGAAATTTTGGATTAACCATTAAAGTGACTGGAGACACGATCGAACCGGTCAAGCACGATCGAATCGATCAAACCCATCATACTGATCAAACGTTGTTATTGCATATTCTGTATATATACTCCATAACTAATATTTGATTGAAGGTTGTTCGGTTTAATTGAATTTTTGGATTAACCAGTGAACAAGACTGGAGACACAATCGAACCGGTCGAATCGACCGAGCCGATCATTCCGAACTTGGATTGTTATTGCATATATGTCCACTCCATAACTGATCTTTGGGAGAGTTTAATCGGTTTTGTCAAAATTTTGGATTGACCATCAAACTTTCCACTAATCTAACGTTTATTAGTGGAAAGTTCAAATTTAAGATCTTGTAAGTGTTTAATAGTTCTAATTAATAGCTTCTAAGATGTTGTAAGTGTTTAATAGCTTCTAATTAACTGATCTTGTAAGTGTTTAAGATCATTGAATATTCTAAGTGTTTAATTGCTTCTAATTAACGCAAAGTTACACGGCAATTGCTTTGGAATTGAAAACATTGAATAATATTATATAGTATAAATTTTATATTACATGTATAAAAAATATATTTATATATTAAAAACGAATTTGAAATCGAAATCGGAATTCGAATTCCGAATTCGAATTGTGAATTCGAAATCAGAAATTCCGATTTGAAAAACTCAATTACCGAATTCGAACCAAATTCGAATTATATGAATTCGGAAAACCTGAATTCGATTTCGATTTCCGATTTACCGATTTCGAAAATTTCCTATTCCCCCTCTTTTCGATTTTGCACACCTCTAGTTTAATTGTTTCTAATTAACATAAAGTTGAATGGCAATTGCTTTGGAATTGATTGTCAGTTGAATATTCTAAGTGTTTAATTACTTCTAATTAATGCAAAGTTACACGGTAATTGCAGTGAAATGTTCAATTTTAAGATCTTCTAAGTGTTTAATAGCTTATAATAAACACAAAGTTGAATGGCAATTGCTTTGGAATTGAAAATATTGAATATATATATGTTCAATCAATTCTAATCCTAACGTTTATCAGTGGAAAGTTCATGTATTCACAAGTTCATTTTTATGTTCCATAAACTAATTCGATTCAAATAACGGCTTGTTAGACTACAAGCCGTACATAATTGCTAGTAGCATAAAATAAATTGGGTACCGAAAACATTTTGATTAAATTCATGTTTTTTTTAGCTTCACAAAATTTTTAATTTAAGATATTTTTAACAAAATTCATGTTATAATTCATGTTATATTTATGTAAAATTCATGTTATATTAAATTCAGCTTTAATTCATGTTATATAGCTTTAACAAAATTTTTAGTTGTTATTTTTGTAGTTGTTATATTATATTGTATGTAGTTGTAACAACATTTTTAGTTGTTATATTTTTAGTTGTTATGTAGCTTTAACAAAATTTTGCCCAAACACACAAAAATTAGCGCGGCAAATTGAAAAATTCAAGAGGCTTGACTAATTTACTTTGGCGTCATTAGTACCGCCTTTATTTCAGACATCTTCTCCCCTCTTCAAGATTAGTCCTCTCCCTTTGCCCTCTCTCTCTGTTTCAAGCCTCTTGGGTGAAAGCTAGGCAATTAGGGCTTCAAAGCTTGGGTGAAAGCTGGAGTTCAGATCTTTAAGCTTGGGGAAACCGAGAAGTTAGGGATTCAAGCCATAGTTTGAGGTAATTTCAGTATTTTGTGTCTAATTTTGCATTGCATGGTAGACATCTGTCTAATTTAGGTTGTTCGATTCCCATTTCTGACAAGCTCCTTCTCCGTTTCTGAGAAGCACATTTCTAGTTGCATAGGTCGAAAGCCTGGTCGAGATGCTAGTTGTTCTTCTTTCTTGTCAGATTAGGACAATGTGGCTTGTGAGAGCTGTCGAATGCGACATAGTGTTGTGTATTGTCAGTTGCTTTCTGTTACAACTTTAAAGAGTAAAGTTTGGCCTGTGGAAATCTACCTGGTTAGTGATTTTTTCCAGCAAAGTCCGAAAAGTTACAGTCTTTCTTACTGTAATAATGAAGTGACGCTTAGCATTGTAGGTGTCAGTTCTTGGATTAAGGTTTGAACTTTACGAATTCCGCTGTCTACTTTGCCAGATAGGGAAAGTATCGGTATCATGTCTTTCTGACTATGTGCAGTTGTTTTTTTTTCCCCTGTGATTCGTTTCACAAGAATGCATAACATGCCCCTTCCACCCCCTCCCCCCCAAAAAAAAGGAAAAAAGAACCTCCTTCTCTCTGTATTTGGTGATGCTCTTCTTCACCCTTTTTGTTTTTGGGGTGTGTGGTGTGTCCTTTAAAACGGATGCTTAGAAAAGGAAATTGGGTAAAGATTAGTTATACTAATATTAGAAATTAGACTCTCTAACAACTTAAATTGACCTTCAAAGAATATCTTGGCTAGTGACTGAATCACTTTCCACAATAGAGCAGGGAATCATGGGGTATCAGCAAAAAAGTTAGTACTAAATGACCATCCTTCATTAGCTTTGATAGGCAGCAGTTAATATTGAAGAACCAGGCACGTGCTTTAACCAAAGAAAACTGCTCCATGCCTTTGGAGTTAATGGCTTAAAAATTACCTCATCAGCTTCATCTGTAATTTGAAAAGTGCTTTAATGGAAAGGTACAGTGTAGTATTTGATTATTTGATTCATATCCACATGCAGTAGAACTTTGAATGCAATGTTTTTTAATTTACTGCTTATTTATATTGGCAGAATGCTGCTAGGTACAATTGTTCCGCCTTATTGGTCTTAGCATATAAAACAATAAGGTAGACATTGAGTTCCTTAATGGTTGAGCCTCACAAATCTTTTGATTCTCCATTTAGATTTCCACTGGCCAAACTTTGCCTTAATGCATGTCCTCATGAATCCTGGACTTCTAAATTGTTGGTGCTGATTGTATATGAGGAAATTTCTAGTCACAAATGAAAATGATAGCTTTGGATTCTAGTATGATTGTTGAAAATTGTAAGTGTCTTTGCTAGTACTTGGTAGATATTGGGTTCTAAAATGCCTATTCTGTTAGTTTTGTTTTTCACCAGCAAATGATTGTGTACTGGACTGCTTGATTTAAGCAAGTAGGGGGTTTCCCCATGAATGATAGACTTCTTTTGGTTCTGCTCTGTTTTTACTTTCCATGGGAGCTTTTCAGTAACCTTTCAAATGGAACTACATGACCTGAGCAGATCTTGTGACCCAACTGTAATCATCAAGTTCTTAAAGCTGTTTTCAAGTTCTGATTTATAAGCAAAAAGGTTTTTCAAATATAATTAGAAGCAAACTGCCCAAGTTTGATATACAATAGATTCAATAATATTCGTTGCAACTCAAAATTAGTTCAATAAAAGTATGCTTGAGCTCGGATTGCAGTGTAAGCTGTAGTCAAGATAACTTGTTCATTAATTTTAGTTTGTATACTTTATCTATTATCCCAGATTGATGCACTGCTATAGGTAGAGTGTCTGCTTCAGTAAAGGCTACACATTTACATTTGTCCCTTTCTTCCCCCAAAAAATATATATATGGTGGTGGACCTGGTATCAAATAAATGGTGAATTATGCAGGTATGGCCCGTAGAGGTCGAAAATGTAAGCGCGCTGCAAATGGATTGAGAGATGAACCAATTGAGCAACCTCCCTCATGTCATGAAACAAGGCAGCAGCCTCCACTTGGAACAAGCCATGAAAATGTAATTGAACAAGTTCAAGGAGAAGCTGCTCGGGCACCTCAATCTCCAATTCAGAATTCTACATTGGGAATAATGCATGAATCAGGTGACCAAGTTACTCAACAAGCTGGTAGAGGTTCACAGTCGCATGAGCAGTGCCAGAACTCTCCAATTCAACAATCTCCACTTGGAACAAGGCACGTACCAACTGAAGAAAATCCAAATCAGGATTCTTAAGGTCAACATTCCAATGACACCACCTTCATGTCATGCAACTCGGACGATGCAGGTATTACTAACTGTTTGAACCAATTCCAGAAGTGCATTTTTTATGTTCATAACTTGCACCTTTTTCTTATTTTATACAGGAAAAGAAACTACAAATGATTCAAGTGAAGTACATCAGAAAACCCGAAGCCCTACATTTATGAAAGAAATTTGGGGTCGGCCTAAGGACCTTCCACGGATTGAGATTAAACTCGATGACAATGGGATCCCAATAAGTGAGAAAACCTCTTTCTCTGAATTCTTGGGCAGTTTGGCTAGGAATGGTATGTATTGTCCAATAGATGTTGAAAGTTGGCTTAAGATGCCAAGGAAACTTAAAATGGACATGTTAGAAGTGATAAAGGTAATGGTAGCTTTTGTATTATGTATGCTTTCGACAAAAATTACTGTGAAGTTATGTTGATTTTCTAGTTCCTAACTACGTTTCAGGAAAGGTTTGCTTTGCCTATGGGACTAGAAGCTTGGACCTTAAGATCTATTGGCAAAAAATGGAGAAGTTGGAAGGCAGATTTAAAGGCTACATATTTTGATCCTACCGTGCCAAATGCTGAAGCTCGGTTTCAAAAGGACATAAGGGTACGGGAAGAGCAATGGATCAAACTTTGGGCTTATTGGAAAAGTGAAGAAGCAAAGGTACAAATCAGCTACAACATTCTTCATAAAGTTGTGTTTATTCAATGCTGTAATCTTGCTTTTGATTTTGAAATTTAGAAACTAAGTGAGAGGAACAAGAAAGCTAGAGGGGAGAAGAAGATGAACCACACAACTGGAAAAAAGTCATTTGCTCATCTTCGGAACCACTTGGTGATATCTCATCCTTTTTTTAGTTGCTATTTTTTTTACTCGTACATGTTTCATTATGTTAGCTTGTTTTTTAATTATATGCTAAATGCTAAAACTATAATTAAAAAAATTCAATTTCTTATAGGCCAAACAGTTGCGAAGACCTCCTACTAGAGTAGAAATGTTCAATAAGTTTTATACCCATGCCGATGGAACTCCATCAAGTACCATGGTTGCTGAGAATTTGGTAAGGATCTGAGAACACAAGCCTATAAATTCTACCATTGTTTTCAGACAGGCTTTTGCAATAACAAGTGTTTTCCTTTATTATGTAGGAAAAAATGAATGAGCTGAAAAATCAGCTTCCATCGGAGTCACAAGATCCAGTTGGTCGCAATGATATATTTGCCCAGGTGGTTGGGCAAGACAAACATGGTCATGTTCGCTTGTTTAGTGATGGTGTGAATCCAACGGACTTATGGGAAGACATTCCTAGTCGTAACACATGTTACCGTATAAGTGTTCAACAACAGTCATCATTGGTCCGTTTGGAGGAAAGGCTTCAGCGACAAGATGATGAAATAGCCATCTTGAAGAAAATGGTTTTAGTTCAACATGGAAGGGGCTCTCCAATTGACAGCCCGAGACATCCTTCATCATCATCTAACAATGTGTCAAGCCAAACTCCATCGCGAGCCACGTGACCTATTCGAGTAAGTATTTACAACTTTTAAACTTTCACATTTGTAATCTGGAATTTGGCATGAGTTTGATTCTTGTACTTGTTGGATCTTTACTAGGTAGGGAATATGGTTTCACTAAAAAGTTTGTTTGACCCAACAAAATTCGTGGCAAAGGGATATTTACGGAGTCTGAATCCATTGGATGAGGTCGGGGGACAAGCTCTTGGGCCAAACTGGTGTGAAATACAAATACAAGTTGCAATGAGTCCACGTGAGCAATTGATTAGACCGTATGATTTGCAGCAAACAATTCAAGATGCACTTGGTGCACCAGTTGCTTGGCCTTGTCATTTGGTGAGATATGCACTTAAATACATTGCAGATTTTCTGGAATTTTAGTTCTAGCTATGATGATCTAATGATCCCCTTGGTCTTTGTGCACAGGTGGAAACAGCTGAAGAATGATGGGGATTTCATGGTTATGATTGAGGACTCTCAACAAAATGGAAAGTTTGGAAGCTACTTCTACTTCTTTCAACTTGTTAGGGATGAGAGTCTTTTAGTTTGTGCACAAGAAAGTCTTTCAAGTTATTGTAAATGACAATCTTTTGGTACTGGTTTGGAATTTTAGTACTTGCTTTTAATTAGCACTTGTTTGCGATTTTAGTACTTGTTATCGACTTTTAATTTAATGAAATATATTTGAGTATTGACTTCTTCTTTTAAATTGCTATATGCATTCTGCTCTTTGGGATAATTTTACAAGTCCCTTGGGATTCTGGTTGATGGAATATACAGCAGGGAGGACTAATTGCAGGTTGCTTCCATATAAAAAAACACAGGGAAAAAACTCCTGGCAATTAAAAGTGTCGGCATAATTTAGCTCAAAAAACACTAATGACAAATGGCCATGTCGTCCAAAACAGTGTAAATTCACATAGCTGCGTGTCCTTAAAGCCAAATATTAAGACAACTGAAGATGCCTTCATAAGTTGGATATCCTACTCATGTTCTAAAGCTATACGGACACTTTCGATTATCACAAAAATTGTTTTTGTTGGCAGAAGGAATGCTATAGCAGCATCGTTTTCCTGACACATTTGAATGCTGCTAAAGATTTGAGGCTATCCCCACATTGGAAGGGACAACACTCGCCCTAAGTGTGAGGATAGATAAAGTGTCAGGTTAGATTATTTAGACTGACACCTTTAAATGCCGCTAAATGCCATTTTTGTTGTAGTGCGTGTTTTGTATTTACATAATATATCTCTTTATATTGATCCATGCTATTAAATTTGCTAGTGTATGCATTATGTTTGCTGATTTAGAAGTGTTATAAATGCATACTTATTGGTTCTAATGTGGTTAGATATATGTTGATAAGAAGAGTTGGAAAAAAAACTCTAGATTATAACTTCGAGTTAATCGATACCTATAGCCAGACTAGAATCAAATAAAGCAAATAGTTGCAGTGTGATCCTCACCTATTTGTAGGATGCTACAAATGCTATCAAGCAAGGATAGGTATTTCAAATTTTGATAGGAGATTTTGGGTTTATAATTAGATTAAATTTTGTTTACAATTAAAATTATGGTTGTATAATAACATGCTAGTCGAATGGGTTATTCATCTAAATACTACATTTTCATGAGAAATAAAAAATATATTGATGATTTTAGCAACGTTTCAAAAGTATAGAATTGGATCTTTAAATCAATTACTAGAATTTGACTTCATAAATAGCACTTCCATTATGTACATATTTTCTTCTTCACTCCACTTTTCTTATTGTCAAGAAAACTTATGTCTAAAAGAAACAAAATAGATCCAAGATGACAAGAAAGAGATAGGACTAGGAAACAATAAATTACAAACCCAAAAATTATTCTTCTCTCAATACGCCGGTCATTCAATATCTATGTCCCTACCATAACTACATATCATTTTTCAATTTTAAGGAAAAAATTACCCTATGAGGCTATTATCATCTCCATAATTTCCCCTTGAAACCTAGCAAAGCAACCCAAAAAATCCGTGAAATAGAACTGAAATTAATTAAAATAGGCCACATAGGGAAAAGGCAAATCTGACGAAGAAAAAGGGATAAGAATGGGAAAAGAAAGAGGGAGAAAATTGCAATTTGTTGCAGAAGGAAGGAAAAGAGTGAAGATTGGAGTTTGCTAAAGAAGAGGTGTGATGATAAATTATCGTGAACAAAATTTGAAATAAACTTGCTGGCTCCAATAATTAAAGTGGACTAATATAAAATCTAAGTTCATCTTCAGCTTCAATTAAAGGTCATTGCTACAATCTATTTCATCCCCTTAAAAAATGGATCAGATGGATTTTATATACATTCATTTAGGAGGTAAGACCCACAAAAGTGAAAAATCTTTTGAGAAAAAAACTTGTAATAGACCCAAAAGAAAGCATCTTAGGACACAAGAAGTTTAAATGAGTCTCTAGTTCTTGGAAGCACCATCTAATAATATAAAAGGGAGAGTTGTTCTATAAACAGTGTTTTTTTGTCAAGCGGTTATCTTGCAATTGTTATTGGATGTCCGGACTATTTTTGTCAATTGCTTGTTTTGTTTTGTTTGCAACTGGTATAGTTTTGGTGCATTTATCGAACATGTTGATTGAATTGAAAATTGATTGTGTAAAAAGTGAAACCTATGAAAGTTGGTTTTTGTGGTTAATTATTTGCTTTTGAAGTGTTTTGTAAATGCAAAATTACCTAGGAAATAATTGATTTTTATTGTTGGCTTTAGCGACTTTAAAAATGGCCTTTATTACTGTGACATGAAATAAAATTGTTAAATGTCCTGTAAATGCACAATTATTGAGGAAACAATTAATAAACTATTGTTGGCTTTAGTAGGTTTAAAAAATGGGTTTTATTACTGTGACATGTGGTGATTAATTTTTAGCAATATTAAATTCTATGGTTTAAGTGCTCAATTGACTTGCGAGATCCCTTCTTTTTGTGTCAACAATGATTAATACTCTTTTGGGAATGATTCACTTTACAATTTTCTAATTATCCTAATCCAAATGCAAACTAACCTTATACAATTTTCTAATTTACTCTTATACATTCTATATAAGCACCCTCATGCGTTCTGTATATTTCATAATTGTTAACCTTTAACAAAAACGATAATTTCATAACGATCCACATGAATTAGATAATAACAAGTATATTAACAAACTCACACAACAAAAAAAAGTTAACACAGGAAATATTAACTCTCTTAGGCATCGCACAAGCCATCTCACTAGCTTTTTTTTAAATAATGGATCTCAACTATCTTGTTCCATTTTCATTCTAATGTCATTCCTTCTCTTTAGTATTGCAATGATTAAAACATAAAGCAGATGTCCATAACTCTATGATTTACTTTTGAAAATTTTGATACTAGAAACAAAATAAAGAATTTGAGCCATATAAAGTGCCTATATTTATTAGCTCATGTAACTCAAGTTACTCAACTCTAGCATTGTATGAATAGAATGCATTTTCTTTTTGCGTACCATTCATTGATGCTCTTTGCTAGTATGGCTCAGATTAGCCTTAGAATTCTGCTATTTTAACACGACTAATGCAATTTCTAGATTAAGAAATGCAAGAAGATAACTACCGGAGTATTTTTTTTATTCTTTATGAAATAAGCGTTTGAGAATGTTTAAGTGCCATGAATCTTGGATAGTACGACTTTGTTTGATTTCTTTCCATTAAATCAATAGAGGGCTTCGTATGAATTAGCTATTTTTTAGAGTATTTTTCAAAAATTTTTATTGTAACAATATATGTGAAAAATTTTTATTATAAATTGTTGATAAGTATTTTTAAGATTATTTTTAGAGGTGTTTTTGGAAATGTATTTGGGTGTTTTTAGAATTTATAATTCTTTTGGGGTTTTCTTTAAAAATAAAAAATTACACTACTACCACCTACCATCACTTCCAACCACTGCCAATATTCCCTGCTCCTCTCTGCTCCCTCTTCCTCTTCTTCCTCTCTCTTTCTCTTCCTTCTTCCTCCTTCCCCTCATTCTCTCCTCCCCACCTCCCACCCATTCTTTCCTTCTCATTGCAACTAGATCACGACCAAAATGCCATCCCCTTCCAGTTGCGATATGGCTGAGACTAGTTTTGTATCTAGCTGCAATCAGAGATGGCCAAATTGGGGAGGAGTAAGGGAGGGGTAGGGGTGGGGGTAGAGCTGTTAAACGAACCGAGCTGTTTGGTAGCTCGGTTCTTTTCGACTCGTTTGTGTTCGTGAAAGGTTCGTTCGAAACCTTAAATGAACCGAGTTCGAACAAATTTTTTTGTTCGATTAATAATCGAGCGAACACAAATATGTTTGCGAGTTTTAACAAACGTTCGCGAACATGCTAAACGAACGTTCGTGAACACAAGTATGTTCGCGAGTTTTAACGAACGTTCGTGAACATGGACATCATTATCATTTGACAAATTTTAGGATTAATTTTATGGCTGGACTTTTATATTTAGAGAGCAAATTGCTTTGTTTTATTTGTTATTTTTATGTTAATGTTAGTTATATAGTTAATGAATAATAGAATTTAGTCACTTAGTTGCTTTAATTGTTTTTTAGAATGATTAATGATTTGTATGGCATATTTAAGGTTTAAAATAATTTGGATTCGAGCATTTCGAGCATGTTCGCGAACGGCTCGTTTATGTTAAACGAGCCGAACACGAACTCGAACTCGAACACGAACTTTGCTTAACGAGCCAAATACGAACACAGGTTTGGAGTTCGAAAATTAACAAATAAACACGAATGTTATTTGAATCGCTTAACGAACAGAACTCAAACAAATAATACTCGATTCGATTCGGTTCGGTTCGTTTTACAGCTCTAGGTAGGGGTTAAAGGGAGGCTTCGGTAAGGGAATCGAAGAGAATGAGGGAGAAGGAGAAAGGGGAAGGGAAGAAAGGGAAGAGGGAGGGGAAAGAGAGAAAAGGAGCGAGGAGACGGTGGTGGTAGTTAGATGGAAGAAGAAAAGAGTGGTAGAATTTACTTTTAAATTTTTTGGTATATTTGTAAGTTGTTTTTGAAATATTGTAAGAATTATGTGCTTTTACAGTTGTTTTTATTTGATATTATTATAATATTGTATTTGATAGTAGATTGTTTATCAAATTTTATTTACTTGTATTATCAACACATTTTTCAACAATCTTTTTATTACATATACATCACATTTAAAAAGGACTATAATATTTCTTTCAAAAATTTATACCAAATAAACTATTATCCAACACATTTATTGTCTAATTTGCCTTGTTGGACCTCACGATTTTGCCATTTATAAGGCATCTCAATTCTCACAAAGTAGAGGCAGAACTCTACCTTACGAGTTAAACTAGTGTAAATACCCGTACTACGCACGGTGCTAACATTATTAAAAAATGAAAATAAATGGGTGAATTA